GGCTACGGAGCATGACTGCCACAGATACCTGGGATGCCATACAAACTTGTTGGATTGATGTCTATATCCGCTCGCCCGGCCATATTGTAACTGACGCCGGTTAAAACTTTACCAGTAGGGAATTTCACCAAAACGCAACATCTATGGCAACTTCTGTAAAGAACATCCCAATTGTTGCACATTGGTCAGTAGGAATGGTCGAGCGCTACCATTCCACACTACGGCGCGTTTATAATATAATTAATGCAGAACTGAAAGGAGATAATGCCACCAAAGAATCAAAACTCCTAATGTCAATTAAAGCAATTAATGATAGCGCTGGGCCCGACAGATTAGTCCCTACATTGCTTGTTTTCGGTGTATGTCCGCGGATGGTACACACAGATACTCCAGCTCCTTCCATTTCCCAACGAGCTATCGCCCTCAAAAAGTCAATGAGTTAAGTCAAAAAGATTAAAGCTGAAAACCTATTAAATACAGCTTTAAGCCAACAAAACGGCCCAGATACCACAAGTGTTCACAACTTGCAAATCAACTCTGAAGTCCTTGTATGGCGTGAAGGTATCTCTAGACAATCAGGTCAATGGACAGGCCCTTTCAGATTACTTGATGTAGAAAATGAAACCTGCAAGATTGAGTTACCTTCAGGATCAAGTGAAGTCAGGTCTACTGTTGTTAGGCCATGTTATCAGGATAATGACAATGTTAGTTTATAGACCGGAGGCCTTCTCAATAATCCACCCTTCCCTGACTCTTTAGCATCAGTAAATCTCAGAAGAAATGCAGAAAGATCCCGCCGGCCCCCCGCAAGATACATTGATCAAGCAGTAGCTAGAACCTTCATCGAAGAGACTGAAGTCCCCTTAGTTCCGGCATTTAAAGAATCCAGGCAAAGAGAAATAAATAGATTGCTAGAAAAAGGGGTGTTTGAGTTTATCACCTTGTCAATGGTCCCACCGGGAGCCAGAATCTTCAATTAAAGATTTGTGGATGAGATAAAGCATAGAGGGACAGATAAAGCTTTTGAAAAGTCACGACTGGTGGTACAGGTATATAACAATAAAGAAAAAGGAATCGTTCTAACACAATCGCCCACAATTCAGAGACCTAGCCAAAGAATAATTCTCGCCCTTGCCTCAATATTGCTGCTAGATTTATACTTGCGCGATATCTCACAAGCCTATGTTCAGTCCACAACAAAACTGAATTGGGATTTCTATGTTTGTCTGCCGGCTGAGATTGGTGATAAAGAAACTTTTCTAAAAGTTATAAAACCTCTCTATGGTGTACCAGAAGCTGGAAATCATTGGTTCAATACTTATCATTGACATCATACTGAAAGCTTGTCAATGGAACAGTCAACCTATGACCCTTGCCTCTTATACCTCAACAATAACCAAAATTTCGGTATAGTTGGCCTTCAAACAGATGACACACTATTCCTAGCAAATGACGTATTTGCTTCCAGTGAAGAAAGTCAGCTTATTAAGGCCGGTTTTATTGTTAAAGATCGAGAAAAACTGACTGTTTTAACCCCAATTAAGTTTAATGGAGGTTACATCAAGAGGGAAGCCACAACAAACTCAATTACACTGACACAGGAATCACAATGCAAGAACCTTAAAATTGTTGATTCAAATGAAATTGATATTGTTAGCTCCAGAGGTAGTATTAAAAGAAATTTGTCAACAATGGATCAGTTGTTATGCTCAGCTATGTAGGATGGTAGATCTAGTAGCTGGTGCATAGGTAGTTATTATGGCAGCATGGAGGAGATCCAGTCTCTACATAACAACATTACATGTAGTAATGTGTGCATTACGAGAGATGGGTTGTTGATATAGGACAAATGGCATGGCTGCTTAGTTGGTTGCACATTTTGGTGAGCTGCATACTGGTAACGTGATTGATCTACAAGCGAACAAGCTAGGGGATAAGGGACGAGCTTCTCCTAATCTGTAACACAATAATTATCATAGTCACTTCACTTCTGCACATTAATGAAGACATCTCTCCACATACTGTCTTAGCTGTTCCAGCGCAAGTGTACATTCCCATTTCATATACCAAGTAAAATATCAGTACATTGCCCAGAGAGCACGGGGAGCATATATTGCAAGCGTTTGTCAGCCAGAAGCAACTTTTGACTTGTCTTTTGCTGCTCAAACAACCTGCCCGAGCCAAGTCGACATAAATTTACTGAATAAAAGGTTCAAGTGGCAATCTGATAACCCTCTCAGAGGACTAAAGTATGTAAGGCTCAATAGGAATTCTTTAAAGGTAATTGCATTTACCGACTCATCATTTGCAAATAATCATGACTATTCCTCTCAAATCGGATTTGTCATGGTTCCTGCAGACGATGATAACAAGGCAAATATAATCCACTGGTCATCCATCAAATGTAAAAGAATTACACGGAGTGTTTTAGCAGCAGAACTCTATGGAATGGTCCATGGCTTCGATATTGCCGCATCAATTAAGTCAACTCTCAACAAGATCTTACAAACACAATTACCATTAATTTTATGTACCAATCCAAAATCTTTATATGATTGCCTTGTAAAACTTGGAACAACTCAAGAAAAGAGACTTATGGTAGACTTAATGTCTCTTTGTCAGTCGTACGAGAGACGAGAAATTGCCGAGATCTGTTGGATTGATAGGGAAACTAACCCAGCAGATGCCATGACCAAATCTAAATGTTGCCATGACTTAAAAGAACTTGTCAATTCTAACTACCTGAAAATTGAGAGCAACGGATGGGTGGAGCGAAGTAGCCAGTCAAAATGAAGCAAACATCTGCCTACATAGCCTCTATTTTTTTATTTTTGTTTCCAGTGTCTGATTATAGTTCTGTATTATATCACGTGACTTATTTTCGTGACATTTCCTTATATAGAATAGCGCTGGGAATAAGAAATTGGCTCCCCAATGTAATTATTAGTTGTTACTTGGGAGGGAGGGAGTTAGACAGTAGTTAATTGATACCAATATTGTTACAACAAGCTTGTCACAAAACCCGTCCACTTGAAGTAGTCCGACACTCTTCAATAAGGTTCTCTCTGTGACTTGACAACTCGGAATATTCTGGTTATGAGCTTAAGTTAGTGTCACTATGCTTGCTGACCTTGAACGAGCATGTAGATTGATGAGTTCAGGTTGTGGTTGAAGGTGTATCTGAGGTTCACTGTACTTAATTGTTCTCTACTAATTGTGTACCGAGCACTCGCTTCTCATAGTCATGTGCGGCCGCTAGTCGGCTCCTGACCACATCTCAGGGATGAGGGTTTGACGGTGTTCCACGGGGTGCGTTGTATAGCCTAGTGAAGATCTAGGTGGTAAGTGAAGATTATAAATGGGTCAAAGGGATGACAGGTCTTCTCTAGGAAGAGATGAATGGGCAACTTGTTGCAGTAGATGTTACACGTGGGTCTTGCTGATGAAGAACTGGGCAATGGACATATGGTCTTCCCGAAGAAGAGATGGGTAAACAAATTTATTGTAAAGGATGAGTAAAGAAGACGTTGCGTGAGGAGTAAATCTCTCTCACGCCGAACTATTATATACAAGAGTAGAAGCCTTTGCCAACCGGAATTAATCGTAATCAATTCTTGCCAATATCTTCGCATTAATGGCTGTGTTCTTGTCCTTCTCTTCATGACTCTCTTGCATATCCTTACATGACTTTTTACACGACTAATTGTATAGGGGAAGCTATTATTAAATTGATGTCTTTAATTAACTACCCCTTCATCTTATCACGAATTAAAATTAGTATTAAAATTCTAATTACGGATCCGTGAAACCACATGAGCTTCCTCCTGCAGATTCCCAAACAATACAGGAACTACACAAACAGCGTGAACATCTAATCAAGTTATGTCCATGCAAGTATCCTAGCTGTATAACATGCCCATCACAACACAGACTCTGCAATAATCATATAGAAGATCCTTGATACTTCTGGAAACTCATGAACTCTCAGAAGGTTTCAACAAGGGTCAATGTGAATCATCTAGGTTCCCTGTCATCCGAGATCTTCCCAGGAAGCTCTCTTCGTATAATTGCCTGTGCTAGGCAGCGTAGGCTACAGGAACCCTCAGGCTTGACAGCCGTCAGACCTTCCCTGGAAAGAAGGAATGCTGTGGAGGATGTCCTTTGTCATGTAAAGACATGATTCATTCATGAATCGATATTGTTCAGACGATCATGACTATATCACAACGTCATGTATAGACACGATTCATTGTTTGTACCTGTTGTATCAACCATGACTATGTCTCGGTGATAGGAAAAACATCATTAACTAGTCACTAGAAACCTAGTCAAGATCCCAAACATATAACTGAGACTAGGAGAATTTTACTGAGTAAGTAATTATTCTGATGAATCTAGATCTGGAGGAACATACTCTGGTTGCTTGGCTCGAGGTATATGAACCTGAGCATATCATATATAATAAACTATATAGAAATCTATCTCAATCACAATCATCATCTTAATTCATGTCACCATCAATAGCTGCAAAGAACAGTTTAACCATTTCCTTATATCCTCTTAGATAGGGTTTTTATGGTATCAAGAGGGAGACTAACTCAACACCTATCAGTGGCGTGCCCTACGAGCCCCCACCTCTCACAGTAGAGTCTGCAAATCTAAGTTTGAGTGACAACGTCCTTACTTCAATGGGGATTCCAAATCGCTTTTGCGGTCTGCATCTTGTTCTCATAACACACACCCCCATCCTTGATCATGGAGGAGAAGCCATCCAATCAGTTTCCGGAGCGTACCCAGCACCCGATATGGAGATGGTGGATTAGATCAAGTCGGTCTCGATTGTTACGAAGATGGGATATGTAGATAAATATGCGCACCTCATGTGGTCCCGGTGTCTGGGCATCGCCCGGCTGAGACTGCAGGCTTTTTCCCGCGAACGCAATTTCCATTGCTACCATTATTATTTTTTTGGGTAGAAGGTTCCGTGAAAAGATCCTTCATTATCCTAGAATGAATATAAGTTTATTCGTGACGGGCACAAGCCCTGCACTGAAAGAGCATGACACGGAGAAGAATAGCTTCCCCAACGAATACATACAACAATAACTCAGTTTGACATTTGGACTACTCATATAGTGGGTGAATTCGTTGACACCACTCGAGACCTTGGTGCTAGGGACTTTCACCCTTCCCTTAAACGTAAATATCCACCAAATGAAAATCAGGAAAAGCCTTTGGCTATCCTACCATGCCTCTGTCATCTTGTATTCAGCCGCCGTGCGAGATATGGCCTCAAGGTCTTCCTTTTCTCTAGTGAGGTAAGTATCCAGGCCACCTAGACCTTAACTCGGAGAGATGATGACCAGGAGGCGTACCAAAATACCTTCCATCGTTGCCTGTTTTTAGAGTGTTGGTTGAAATATCCGAAATTGTTACCTCTGCGCCCATAGACACTCGTAAGTTGAAAACATTCAAAATAATATGCGTCCCGGCATGCCCATTTGTGACCTCTTCACTCGTTCATCTCACGTCACTGCTGCCTGTCCTCCCTCAAGATGCGAAACCCCATTAGAGCAACAGCCCCCCATAGACCAATACTCGAGCTTTGTATGTTATGAGTTAGTTTCCTCTTCGCGGGGTACATAAAATTGTAACTTTTTAGTGTGAGATGGCTGGTTTTTTATAAGACTGATGCCCGATTGCAACTGGAGTAATAGCTTTATCGGTAGTTGAGGCGACGTGGTGTAGCAAGATTGAGGTAGAGGACTCGCATAAGAATGATAGGTCCGACATTGACGAGAAGTCGTCGACTTTAGATATGCTTGAGGTTGCTTTCAACTTCGATTCGGATGCAATACTTCTTGGCTATCCCAGATATGCAGAGCATACTGAGCAATTACACCGGCACCACTGGAAGGTGAAGACTTCGTTTGGGCCGGCCGTAATAGTCATAGAATTTGAATTTGAATTCGAAACCTTTAACGTGACAGGATGGGCCTAAAATCTATTTAGACGTGACACGGGTAGATGGGCTCTGAGAACTCAATGCTATCTACATGACCGGCATTAAAGCCAGAAGCGATAAAAATAAATAAAAAGGGACAATAAGTGCCTAAGCTACCTTACCCTGCGCTGCATCATTTTGTTCCAAGCACATTCCCTCCCGAGTTGGGATCCGTCTCAGCGTGGTCACCTCCCACCCTGTTCACTCTTCGGCAGACTGTAACATCTGCTTACAGTTAGGGAATAGAAAAACTTCTGCCATCCCTTCTCCCCATTCATCTCCTTGGCTCCAGGCGGGGCCAACGTCATGGTCATAGATTCAATAGTGACTTAAATTTGATTCTTTTTTTTTTGCATCAGATTTTAATTGCGTATGCAGCTATCTAGCTATGACACAATATCAAAGAAAAGTACAGAAAAGATGACTCAATTTACAGGAGGAGCACTCATGCCTCAGATTTCATTTGCAAGTACCGCTGCGAAGTTGTGGTGGCTTTTTCTTCTCCCCAGGTCAACCCTCATCCGTAAATACCCACTCAGGGGAACGTCTCAAAAACCCTGAGTTATCCAGATATGCCTCCATCATCTTTCAACTTTTCTCCGCGTGAAATGTAATCTGAGATGTCTCTTTCCCATGTGGAGTAGGTGCCCAGGCTACTCAAACCATACCGGAGAACACCACCAGGAGGCGGACCAAAACACCTTCCATCGCTTGCTTGTTTTTATAGTGTGAGCTGCACTCTCGCAAGCGAAGTCTCGGCACGCACAAAGCCCAATTCGTAAAACTCATGCCAAAATTCGAAATTTCACGTCCGTCGAAAACGTATCCCTCTTCCACATCATCTTGTAAGCTTGTCCTAATCCCTCTCACGCCCATCTCAAAGAGCTATCTCCCAGATTTGTGCTCCACGCTTTGCTTTCTTCGTCGGGTATAAATATCGGCGTGGGCGTGTATTTGGTGGTCAACTGAGGCCAGAGAAAGTCGACGAGAGGTGTAGTCATTGAAAAAAGGATGTACTAGGTCGTACTTGTAGACTTGATGAAGCTTAGTTGAGAATCGGAATCTTTGGGAGTGAAAGATTGACATGGTGGAGTAATTTGAATTTGCCTCGTGGGCCAACTTGTTTGGTATTGCGAAATTTGACTGAACTCGGCTCTGGGAGAATATTTCACTCCGAGGTTCGTAGAGGACACCGCGTACAGGTGTTCAGTCTTGGCCTCCTTAAATTTGATTCTCTGACATGGAAAAGGTGGCCTAATTCCACGGTTGAATACTAAGCTGTATGGCCATTCATCACGGACTCTATATCAATGATCTTTCAAGGAATATGAGGAGCAAGAAGCACTGTACAAGTTGTGGCCAAGGCCAGAGAGGAGGCCAATGTGCTAGATTGTCTATGACTCATGTAGTACTATAAACACACAACTCTCTCTCTTACCTCGTGCGAGTATCACGATTGTCGTGAGCGCGTTATTGGAGGCCGACCTCGGTCTTTATGAAGTATGATTATAGAAATGAGAAAGAGAATAAGAATGTACTAAGTCGTAATTGCAGACTTGATGAGGCCTTATTGGAAGCCGATCTCATTTACAGCGAAATTTTGAAAACGTGAGGAGCCTTGTATCTTTACGTAGTGGGCCTACCTGACCGGTAATTCAAAACACCTCTAAACTTCGTTGAAATGTGGTATTTGAGTCCGATGTTCGTACAGAGCACAGCGTAAAGTTCTTAAGTCTTCATTTCAATCATTCGCTACAATAATGAGACATACCCTATATTCTTGATCACATAATATCAAAAATACGTCAGATACCTAGGCAAACTGGGAGCCTGAATAAGCCTGCTCCGCACATTTCGAACATTACATATTTTACTCTTGCAGTCTTCATTGTAAACACAACTATTTAGTCACGATGCAAGATTGAGAAAATTAGCGATATGTCTCCCGATGGCCGAGTCCCAAATTCCTCAATATGTGAGTACATTCACAATTAATCCATTCTAAGTCTAACTGACGATTTTCAAGACTTCCAGTCCGTATTTCAGGTTTCCACGTACTTAATTTGATACACGCTGAAATTTGCGCGATTTATGATCAAATAATCTTGCTATTCGCATGAAGACTAATTCTTGATAGCTTCCTGGCTGGACTGGGATCCGGTGTTCTATCTGCGGTTCTGCTGCAGCCAGTCGACCTCCTGAAAACCCGAATGCAACAATCAGGAAGCAGCTCATTAATTGCCACTATCCGCGAGATTTCTCATGCCCCTCAGTCTATTTTATCATTTTGGAGGGGTACCCTTCCCTCAGCCCTACGAACTGGATTTGGGTCTGCTATATACTTTACTAGTTTGAATGCTTTGCGACAGAATGTATCGCGGTTTCGTTTACTTCAGATGTCAGGCCACAATAGCGTTGGAAATCACTCTTCATCATTGCCCGAGCTCTCAAACCTTTCCAATCTTGCGACTGGAGCGGTTGCACGGGCAACAGCTGGGTTTGTTCTTATGCCCATGACAGTTCTTAAAGTTCGCTTTGAATCAAATATGTACGCTTATCGATCCTTAGCATGTGCAGGGCAGGATATATTAAAAAGGGAAGGATTCAAAGGGTTTTTTTCTGGATTTGGTGCAACGGCTGCTCGAGATGCACCATATGCTGGCCTCTACGTTTTACTTTACGAGCAACTCAAGAGAAGATTCAGTATATTTACCAGTCAGATTTACAATGACGAGTCCTTGGCCGGCATGAACGGGCCAAAGTCAGCATTTATAAACTTTAGCTCTAGTATGATCGCGGCTGGACTAGCTACGGCCATCACCAATCCCTTCGACGTTATCAAAACAAGAATACAGTTGCAACCCAAAATCTACCACAATGTGTTCAGCGCTTTCCACAAAATCATACGGAAAGATGGTCTAAAGTCTTTGTCAGATGGTTTGCTCCTTCGTATGGGTCGCAAGACCTTGAGCTCAGCTTTGGCATGGACCCTTTATGAAGAGGTCATAAGAAGAGCCGAGTACCATTATAAGTAGTTTCATTAGATATCTGTTAAGTCGCAACTCTTAAAATGATAAAGTCATTATCTAGCCATCGACTTCCGTAACAACTAGTAAATCTAATATCAACATATCTCCTGATCCGGGGTAGCAATTAACCATGTTGGAACAAGATAGTTCTAATGGTAGCTATGAATTATAAATACTAGCGGTAACTTATGGTTCAGTTTACAGCTAAGTATGTCTCCGAGGTCGAGATTGAAAAACACGCAAGGTGTGCATCTGGATTGTTGCAAAAATAATATTTTTTGAATACCATATAACGTGTTTTCAGCTACTTAGCTAAGGCATATAATCAGTGCAATGTTTACACGCTATGTGACTCTTTTGACGGCAGACTGATACTCTGGGTCTCTTTCGCAGATAACATTACGAGATATGTTTGCTTTTACAAAAAGACGAGTTTCCTCTGTCAGTACATAGAAAAGGGACATCTCAAAACCTTTGCTTACCGAATTAAACCTTCGTTAGCCAGGCATTTAAGTGCCGCTACAAATATGTTCGGTTCATGCTTGATTTGAACCAGGTATCTTATGTCACGAGTGGGATATTGGTTCCAACTTTCCAGAATTTGCTGGGAGACCAGCCCAAACGATATACCACTACACCATCAAACTATGACTTTGTCTAGAGAGCCGACCAAATTTTCACAATCAAGGCTTGGCGCCTCTTCAATCTGTGAAACTTTTTGCCGGAATTCTACGTCTCGTTCCTTCCAAGATTGTATCCGCCGTTTGGATTTCTTTGTATGATTGACCGGATATTACTCACTTCCACTCCGAAAACCTGACTTCAAGGGCTGTGCACGACGTTTAATTTCTCAGTCGGGTATGAACATCGGTGTGTGTCACAGGTTCAGTACACAATGCATGGGCAATCTTGTAAGTACAGCATATTAATTATAATTCTCTGAAGAGAAAATTCCTATAACAAGGCTAAAAATATATATATATATATATATACACTTTGAAAAACCTCCATTCAATAAGGTTCCCACTATAACTAGAATAATATGGACTCTTCGACGATTTCATAGAAGATCCTCAATACATCTCTCATCCTCATGAATCTTCAATATGCTTCCAAAAGATTCACTGAGAATCTTCTAAGCTCCGTGTTATTCGAGACCCTTCCCGAAGATTCCCTTGGTGTCATTGCCTGCGCTAGCCAGCGTAGGCTACAGGAATCCTTAGGCTTAGCAGCTGTTACAGAGTGGGCATATATATAGGGGCCACGTAAGGCCTGATACTGATTTGGCGTGAGGTACGGTCATAGATATGAGGATATACTGGGTCTTACTTGAAGACTTGATGCGGAATTGGCGGGAACCGATCTCGTTGGAACAGAGGCATTAATTTGGTAGAGAGTCTTTAGTCATTATCTCGAGAGTCAACTTCTTCGATATTGCGGAATTTGACCAAGTATGGGGAGGAGAGATCTTTTACTCATAGATTCGGAGAGAACACATTGGGCAGATTTAGAGTCTTTGCACCCCTCTTGTTACTTTACAACACGACATCGTGTAGGACATGTAGTTCAACCCCATATTCGGCATGATTCAAGCACTGTGTGCAACAAGCTACGATTATTCTGATTGAAGTACACATCCTACGAATACTTTCTCATTATTACTTGATGTTTACAGTAACGACGTCGCCTCGACCTGGCCCTAGGTGTAATAGCGTGAGTACATGTGGTACGTGCACGTTAGCATATAGTCCCTGTCCGCCTCTAGACACTCTCATCATATAGCCAATTTGCCTCTTTCATCTTAACATTAGAGCTGCCTTTTTGCCACTTCCTCTTCTTGTTAATTTTATATAATTTGTTCAGGAACTTACGTGCTAGGCAATTGGCATTTTCCGCGCCACTATGGAAGCTTTGGTATGAGTGGAGTCGGGCTGGATCAGGTCAACCACCACTAAAAAATACTTCAACTTTTTGAAAATCGAAAATTCGAATTTCCCCCTCTCGAGCTTGTCGCATATATTCATGAAATTGTGAAGGGGATTTTGGATTTATAGCATGCCACCTGTCCGAAAAAAAAGCGTCCCAACGCTATGTTAGTGAACACGAGAGTGTTATGCTAAGCTTTTTTTTTTTGCATCAGATTTTAATTGCGTATGCAGCTATCTAGCTATGACATAACATCAGAGAAAAGTACAGGATAGATGATTCAACGTAAAGGAAGAGCACTCATGCCTCGGATTTCATTTTCTAGTGCCACTGACGAGTTGTGGTGGCTTTTTCTTCTCCCCAGGTCAACCCTCATCCGTAAATACCCACTCAGGGGAACGTCTCAAAAACCCTGAGTTATCCAGATATGCCTCCATCATCTTTCAACTTTTCTCCGCGTGAAATGTAATCTGAGATGTCTCTTTCCCATGTGGAGTAGGTGCCCAGGCTACTCAAACCATACCGGAGAACACCACCAGGAGGCGGACCAAAACACCTTCCATCGCTTGCTTGTTTTTATAGTGTGAGCTGCACTCTCGCAAGCGAAGTCTCGGCACGCACAAAGCCCAATTCGTAAAACTCATGCCAAAATTCGAAATTTCACGTCCGTCGAAAACGTATCCCTCTTCCACATCATCTTGTAAGCTTGTCCTAATCCCTCTCACGCCCATCTCAAAGAGCTATCTCCCAGATTTGTGCTCCACGCTTTGCTTTCTTCGTCGGGTATAAATATCGGCGTGGGCGTGTATTTGGTGGTCAACTGAGGCCAGAGAAAGTCGACGAGAGGTGTAGTCATTGAAAAAAGGATGTACTAGGTCGTACTTGTAGACTTGATGAAGCTTAGTTGAGAATCGGAATCTTTGGGAGTGAAAGATTGACATGGTGGAGTAATTTGAATTTGCCTCGTGGGCCAACTTGTTTGGTATTGCGAAATTTGACTGAACTCGGCTCTGGGAGAATATTTCACTCCGAGGTTCGTAGAGGACACCGCGTACAGGTGTTCAGTCTTGTCCTCCATGTACTCAGAATGCAGCGCACCAAATTGTGCTCCTAACAGAGCAACTGTGCTATTTGTCATATAACAACAAATCATCTCTTATACTGCACACAGTACTCCTCGTAATTCCGTTGTGTAGAGACCGGATCTCGTTAATGCACCAGCTACTAGAACTACCATACTACATAGCTTAGCATAACAGAGTGCAGCTGACACTATAAACACAAGCAAACGATGGAAGGTATTGTGGTCCGCCTCCTGGTGGTGTTCTCCGGTATAGTTTGAGTAGCCTGGGCACCTCCTCCACTTGGGAAAGAGACATCTCAGATTATATTTCGCGCGGAGAAAAGTTGAAAGATAATGGAGGCATATCTGGATAACTCAGGGTTTTTGAGACGTTCCCCTGAGTGGGTATTCACGGATGAGGGTTGACTTGGGGAGAAAAAAAGCCACCACAACTCGTCAGTGGCACTAGAAAATGAAATCCGAGGCATGAGTGCTCTTCCTTTACGTTGAATCATCTATCCTGTACTTTTCTCTGATACTGTGTTAAAGCTAGATAGCTACAATCTGTTGAAAATACGGAGCATAGAGATAAGTTGGGTCATAATCCTTGGCAATTATTTGTGAAGGGTTTGATTGTTGGGTTTCATATTGCTTATGCGTTTGGATACATCTTGTCTATCCCACTAGGTTCAATAATAAGTAGTTCTGACCAACTGTTGTTTGGCGAATGGAGATTGCGTTTACCCTGTGCTAGCGGTTGGTTACTGCTGTTAATGGGGTTTCTTGTGCGCATAATTAAGAATACACTGTTGGAAATCTAGACTCAGTATATATGAAGGTTTAGATTTCTAGGTATGGTCATCAAGATCAATTGAGTTAATTCGATTGAATATAATTAAGCTCAGTTGGGCGAAATAAGACTCAGTGGCACCTGGTACGCATTGGCTAGGAAATGCTACCTTGCGATAATTGAGTGGCTGGTTGTTGCTAGATTAATGGGAGTTCGGGATCACGAGAGCCTCGGGGATCTGTATTTAACTATAGACTCATCTATACATGTAATACTACGTCAACGGAGTATTATATATTATTAATTCATATTGAGAAGAGAGTTCGATATCATACACAATTATCAATAAATTCTTGTCCGAAATTGTACACTTGTTCTTCGAGATATTTCCTCCTAGAAATCCTTGACAATTTCTAACATGAAATGGTGGATGCGGACTGTGAGATTCACGGGTGTCTCGTGGCTCCAACTACGACAATCTATAGTCTCCCCTGAATCAGATTTCAATTTTGTATACGGCTATCTAGCTATGAGGCAATATCAGAGAAATAGTACATGATAGATGACTCAATTAAAACTAGAGTGCTCACACTTCGGATTTTACTTGCAAGTATCTTTGCAAATGAATGACTGCTTTCTGGGGCACTATTTTCAACACCTGTCAGTGGTGTCCCCTACGGACCTCCAGCTCTCACTGTGGAGTATATAGAGCCGAGATTGAGTAACAAAGTCCTCCCTTTGATGAGAATTTCCATTCGCTTTCGCCATCTGTATCGTCTTCATCTCTCAACTAAACCCCATATCAACATTATCATGAAGCTAACCACGATCAGATTAGATGGTGGGGTTGTGTTGGAAATTCTGACTCTCGAATTTAGGACTCAACCATTACCTGTTTCGTCTCAGGTTCCCGGCTAGATCGACTCTCTCTACGAATGTCCCTAGTACGCTAATCGCGCCTACTGTCGCCTATACGTTTGGATATTTACGTACTACAGTGTACCTTGGCTCATCATTGTTGAAATATGATATATCTTGTAGTGCCAAGAATAACTTATTAGTAAGTCCGGCTAATTTGACTATCAAATTCCCCATTCTATATCACTGTTATCAGTACATCATTCACCGAAAGTTTAATGCGCATTAGCGTTTATCTCACGCTAGAATTCCAGCAGATGACTATGTCTCAAATGCAGGTTATAGTTTTCTTGTATCTATTACTGACAC